ATGCGCTTCTGAACACTATTTACATTATTCGGACTATTGTCCTCATCTTTGTCGCCATATTTATTACAACGTTTCCGGCCTTCTTCAGGTGGTTGGAATGTCAAACTGAACCTTTATTTCGCTCACTGGGGTTCTAGTGTCATGTGTATGTCAGTTATCTCCTGTTAATTGCCTTCTCCAATTTCTCTGCCTTAACCGGGTATTGAACTCACACTAAGCAACGCTTTTATCCACTGTGCCATCTTTCCTTGAGAACATCTGTAATTGAGTTTCTGTGTATTATAAACCTAAAGTCTTCAGCGCCGATTTTTACCAGTGCTCATATTGCAATTTTTGCTCTTATCATTTTGTTTTTACCAGAGCTCATATTGCAATTTTTGTTGTTATTATCGCTTTTCTCTGGCACTCCTTATTAATGCTTCCCGTATGGTATTCATTTCTATGCTTGGTCGGCTCAGGGGATTTTTGTGGCATATGTGCTGATTCCTTAAGTTTACGAATTTTCCAATGGTGTTCTTTGTCTATGATCTCAACCTGATCCCACAGAGGGTGGTGATCTCCCTTCCCTCTCCATATGTGGTCAGCCATGCCTGATTTTTCCACTTCCCCCCATGTTACAGCTTTCTGGTGTTCTTGAAGCCTTACCTTAAGGGGTGGCCTGTCTCCCCTTTATATTTCTTTCCGCAGCTGCACGGGATAGCATACACACAGTCTTTAGTCATGTTCTCCTATAGGGGGGGGGTTCTTACTCGGGAGAGATATCTGTCGTCAAGCTTTTGAAGGTTATTCTAATGTTATATGGACCGCAGATCCTTTGTATTTTCTCTCTTAACCCCTTCACATAAGGCAGGCAGACTGTTTTCTGAGTGTTGTTGTCCTCCTTCTCTTGTACCCGCCTATCCCAGTTTTTTTTTTTTGGGTGGGGGGGCTGCTGCCATGTACACAGGGTAGTTGTTACGTCGTAGGGTAAGCGAAATAAACATTACAACCACCTGAAGAAGTAATAAATATGGCGACAAAGATGAGGACAATAATCCGAATAAGGTAAATAGTGTACATAATATCGAATCTCAGAAATATAGATATATGCGCGTCTGTGTATGAATATGATGAGAGTAAGTGGAAAACTTTTTAATCAAAGACACGTTTCTCCGGAGAAATCTTATTGTTTCTTTGACATCATCAGTTTGACTAAAAGAAAGACAAAACCACGTGTGTGAAAAATGTCTTGGGATCTCTGAGGGTAAGTGGGTATTATAAATTACATTAATTACTCTAGCTTATCACTTCCTGATTTGAAACTTGAAGAGAGTCTGTCTGCCTCTGTGATGGTTTGTTTTATCTATATTTGTAATGGAGCCGTTTGGTATTATAGGATTTTAATTCAGGGACGTTTTAAATTATTTTTGTACACATATATGCATCCACACACGGATACATATAGTAAAGAAAGGAAGTGATTTTTGTCTATTAATCTTAGAGACTTTTTTTTTACTTTAAAGCTATTTTTAGTGAATAATCGTATTTGAGTTGACGCTCCGTGTAATGATTAAATCCTATATTTATTTATTTTCATCTACCCGCCTGAATATTCGTGAAATCTCATTAGAGAAAAATATACGCAGGATTCGAAACTGCATTCGCCTAGGAAAAACTGTCATTAGATCTAACATGCTCTAAACTCTCGGCCACAGAGTGTGTCGATGACCAAGCAAAGCTTTAAACACAGATTTTTTTCTGAATCTTCAAATAGGCACGTCTGCTAAGTTTCGTATCCTAGCATAAACAAAGCAATTTGTAAAGAGAGGAATGGATTTTCTTTTTTTATTAATCCGACATATTTTGATTACTTAAACGTTATTTTTAGTGGATACACCTATTTGAGTAGGCACTCTGTTTATTTCAAAAATAGTATATTTATTTATTTCCGTCTGCCGGAATGAATATTCGAGACATCTTATTAGAGAAAAATATGCGCTCTGTTTAAAGGCGCTATTCGGCTCAATCATCACCACAACCAAACGTTTACCTCTCGGCTCACGTATAAACTAAATATTTAACCGTAGACTCAAATGTAATTACCTGTAGTTTCAAGTATAATCTTGACCTACGTTTAACTATAAACTCAACTATAAACCAGTCTAATGTTTTGCACAAGCCTTCACCACTATAATCAAATGATATCTGCACGTAGGCTGGCTGTTGTTTTGTTAACTGAGTCTCTTGACTCTCGTATGTATATATATATATATATATATATATATATATATATATATATATATATATATGTGTGTGTGTGTGTGTGTGTGTGTGTGCGCGCGTGCGTGTGTGCGTGCGCGCGCATGAAGATAATGAGACTAAGTGGAAAACTGTTTCTCAAGGACACGTTTCTCCGGAGAAATCATCTCTTTGCTGTCAGGAACTTTTCAAATTATTTTTGTACACACACACATATATATATATATATATATATATATATATATATATATATATATATATATATATATATATATATATATACGCATAGATATAGTAAAGTATTATTTAAGTATTTGATTAGACGCCCCGTGTATTTATTAAGCAATACATTTATTTTCTTCTACCTGCCTGAATATTCGAGAAATCTTATTAGAGAAAGATATACGCAGGATTCGAACCTGCGTTCTTTTAGTGTACTCAAGTACAATCCCGACCGAACAGTGTTTGCCTGTAGAATCAAGTATGAATTACCTTTGTTACTTGTTGACTCAAGTATAAACGGTAAATGTTTAACTATAAACCCAATTATAAACTCCGCTAATGTCAACCTATCTATTCTTCTTAGAAAGAAGGCCTGAGAAGCTTGTTTTCTTTGAACATTTTTAATAGAAATTTTACATAAATTTCAACGACACTAACTTCTTTTTCTTTTGGACACCTCCTGAATGAGGTGAATATGCGTGCGGTCCAACCATTTTGCTTGACATTCTTTGAACAATTAAAATTAAATGCAGATGAACTATCTTATGAAATTTTTTTATTGCAAATGGCGTATCTTCATTTCTTCACATGGATGACAAATAAATTTAGACAGGTCGTACCAAAATCACTCATCCTGTTATATCTGAAGCCCATACGAGATGAAGTAAAATATGTCTGGAGAAAATAGATCTTCCAGGAAGCTATAATATAATTCTGTTTAATCTCAAACATTACATATTATTAGTAATTAATGTCGTCTGTCAACTTTTAACTTAAAAACATGAATAGGTAAGTAACAGCAACACTTATCTTATGAAGAAGTTGAAAATATAAAGTGACACAAGTTCAAGTGTCCAGATATATTTATAACTGATTTTAACCAACACAAAATAAATTTAATTCGCAAAGATTTTAGAATTTATTCCTCTCAGAAGACCAAAACAAATAACTTTCCTGCACTAATGTAAAGGATGATACTGAGATCGGGTTGCCGTATATAGGCCAGGTCTGGTTTAAAGGCAGTGGTCTGGTTCAAAGACAGTGATTTGGCTGGAAAAGATCAAGGCCAGGCTCAAACTGCTAAAGAGCCGTTACACAGTGCTGCTGCCATCTTTTGGTAAAACATAAAATTGCATTTCTTGGGTTTGTACTTTACGTACTCTGATTGACTCTACTGGTAGGCCGTAAGTGATAAATTCTATGAGAGAGTGGGAGGGGATATGTAATTTGACTGCGGGCCGTAATTGGCCCCTGAGCCGGACTTTGGACATGACTGCCTTAGAATGTTTCCCTTCAGTACGTAGACCATTGTTATAAAATAAAATGACATATCTCGGCTGATTTACAGGCAAATACTCAAGAGCGAGAACCGGATGTGAACGGGACAAAGCCCCGTCACAAAATGACCATTATCTTTCTTCACAAATGTTTCCGACACACGTGTTCCGGTCGAAAAATAAAATAATATTTAAAGTGCTCTATTTTTCGTCCAATAAAAATGCTTCCCTCCTAATTATACTCGCTTCGTTTCTCGAGCCTGTTAAGCCATAAAAAACGCTATAAAAGGGGTCACAGGGAAGTTCAGCAATCAGTCAACAGGTGGCCACAAAGGAGACCGGTCACGTTTAGCAGCTGTCAGCAGGAGAGCGTCAACCACCGTCGACATGTGTGAACTACTATGAGAGATCGACCAAGACCCGAAAGCCGGCTTATGAACTTTACCACACCAAGGTAGCTGTCCTAAACCCTTACGTTCCTGTTGAAATAAACCACGTAAATCTATTTCTTCTGTTGTCGTATGTCTTTCTTACAACCATACGCTTGTCTATAACACCATCATGGCTCTCCACAATTTCTATTTAAGTATAATAAAAGCTGATTTTTATATTAAATAAACAACTAAATGTTGATGTGTTGTAAAATTCACCAAACACAAGCACAAGTGTTTTATCTGTCCTTTAGGAAAAACTAAGTTTTATATTTACAAATGTGATATTTATTAACATAAATTAAGTTGTGATCATATTTTTAGTTTTCTTTATTAATTTTGCATACATTTATGAGATTTTGTTCCTATTTGCAAGTTAGCAGTGTATCTCCATGTCTTCCTTCCGAGGATGCCAATAGTTTTGTCAATGCTACGAATTTTAGCTTTGCAAACTTTCCAGACAGTTTGTGCTATGTTTTAATTCATTTATGGGGTTTATTGTTATTCGACAAGATAGCTATTGAGTTAAGGTTTTAGCAAATAAGCCAAAATCCATACGTTCATCAGCAGCGAAGTGAACAATTTATGTTTGATTTGTCAGGAGGTATCTGCCACCATTGTGTATCTTGAATAGTTTAAAATGCAATCAGTCATCCTATAGAGCCGGATGAACTGAAGTAGCTGAATGTATTGGGCACCAATATTAAATCATGCGTATTGTATGCAATACTGGTTCTTAGAAGAAGATGAACATTTTTAAAATGCCGACGAAAGAGGAAGTTTTCTCTCTGGAGTTATTGGTTTATACATTAGTTACTGTGTGGGCGTATTTATGTTCTGGATACATGATATTATATGTCTTTCAATATGTTTTACTTGGAAGAGACATGGGAAATACGGAGTTAATTCAGTAATTGTATCTATCTGTCTGTCTATCTATCTATTTATTTTTGTATGTTCGTATTTATTCATCTATGTATGCATTTTGGTGTCTTCATGTCTATTTTGGTCTCTTTCTATCTATCTAATTTCGTATCTTCAAATCTATCTATCTATCTATCTAATCTCGTCTCTTCAAATTTAACTATCTATCTAATTTCGTCTCTTCAAATCTATCTATCTATCTAATTTCGTATCATCAAATCTATCTATCTATCTAATTTCGTCTCTTCACATCTATCTATTTTGGTCTCTTCATATATATCGATAGGTCTATCTATATTGGCCTTTTCATATCTTTTCTATATCTATCTATCTATCTATCTATCTATCTATCTATCTATCTATCTATCTATCTCAGTATAGATAGATAGATATATTCATCTGTTCATATCTATCTATCTATCTATCTATCTATCTATCTATCTATCGATAGATATATCTCAGTCTGTTCATATCTATCTATCTATCTATCTATCTATCTATCTATAGATAGATATATCTCAGTCTGTTCATATCTATCTATCTATCTATCTATCTATCTATCTATCTATCTATCTATCTATCTATCTCAGTCTGTTCATATCTATCTATCTATCTATCTATCTATCTCTCTGCCACTGGAAAAGTTTTCAGTACATACTAAAACACATTTTTATTATTTATCCTTTGTGCCGTTTCCTTTCAGGACGATGATGATCATAGCTCTCCACAATATCCTATCCTATGTAGCTTTGAGTAACTGTAGTCATTTTTCTACCTCTTCTGTTCCCTATTCTGCCATCCATTTACAAGTTCGTTAGTTAGGTTGTTCTGTAAACTTCTTCCTGTCTTGCCTTCCATATGTCACGTGAGTGTCAAGATTTTTTTACTCCTCTTTTTCTTTCGAGGATGTTTTATGAAAAAAAATTAAAATACTATAAGATTTTCTTAGATTAAATTTAAAATGTAATAACAGATGAAATACCATGATAGACATAGCTTAATAATTTATGAAATCCACACGAGTTTCGCACGAACAATTCGCAAAATGAAAAGGCCGTCAACAGCGCGGAACAGCACTTATATACCAACTAAAACCACGTGACGTTTTCTTGTATTCATGCTGCTTTCAGTCCTACGTACATTTGAATTACAACCGTTTTATGGACACAAAAGCCATGTAAAATTGGATTTTTCTTATACTGGTGGTTCGTTGATTCTAATAAGATTTATAATTTATAATCTGTAAAGATAGATCTACTGAATAACACCATTGTCTAAAGAGTTCACCGTTTTCACTACTTTTAGAATATTTAACAACTTTAATGTAAAAATAATAAAATAATTTAAGAAATAGCAATTAATTGTTGTAAAAATTTATTTTCCATTATAAAAGGTTTTGCCTTCAGACAATATTATGCATATTCATAAAAAAAATAATAAAAGCAACTAAAAGCATTTGAAATTAAAATATATCTTTGTCTAACTCTGATTTGTATGCTACAATTCAGAACTGATTTTTAGGGACACGAGGTCCGATTTAAAAAAAATTAAAAAAAACATGATTTATTTTCCTCAAAGCTTTTAACTAATTAGTCACTTAAATGCTTTAAAAGTAGTTACGAGTGGGGATAAAAACATAAAAAATTATTTTTACCCTGACTTCAAAAAAATAACATATTTATAATAATTCCCATCATTTATGAATAGTTTCTGAAAGTTTCATTAAAATCCAACAATTATTTTTTATTTTTGCAAGATTTTCAAAATTAATGTTTGTCATTAGAAAAAAGTGTACTAAAATTTGCTATGCTATTTTTAGAACCTCCCTTGACGAAGGGAAACAAAGATTTTTTTTTAATCAAAAGTTAAAATGTTCTAAGAAAGATGAAAATTTTATAAAAAAAATTTAAAAATATTTGTTCTTTTCTCTTAATAGTAGCATAAACATTTTGACGATAAAATTTTGTTTTCAAGTTTAAGCCTGTTTTTTTCATGCTGTGCTCATTTTCCAGCAATCTCTTGCCAGTCCTTAATTTACAACATTCTAAAAACTAATACAATTACAACTAATACAATTAAAACTAATGCAATGCAATGTTTATCATTTACCAATTCATAAAAATAAATATGAAAACAATTTTTAATTAAAAAATTTATAAACGTTTCCTATATTATTATAATCTTTATTATTTACCATTTTATAAAGTTTGACTTAATTGGCAATAAGCCGATGTATTGCCAACAATTCTAATAAACAATATAAGAAATAAATAGAGTTTATCATTTTTGTTGTAACTTCTCAAGGACAGAGAAAATGTTTAAAATCATTTTTATATGTTTAGGTGTTATTAAAATTCAACTCATGGTTTTTAAAAGAATAAACATTTCTGTAAAGTGAAGGAAGATACAGTAATAGTGGTGTCAACGGAAAAACCGTCATTTTGACACTTCATTTTTTTGCAGGCGCGGAGGTCTAAATTTGCAAAATAAAAATCATTTCTTTGTCGGGCCAAGAACTTTTCTGTAATTCCCTGGAAATAGCAAAAATGAATCAGTGAAATGATTCAAAAAAATAATTTCATCCGTCACACATATTTGGATCCTGTACAAACATAAACCTGATCAATATGTATTCATCGGAAAGCAATACTTTACTTCTAAAAAGATTTGACCCAGTCTTCCAAATCTGACCAAAAACCAAATATCAATCATTTTGGGCAGAGACGTCTTGAATGGGCTGGAAATATTCAGCACCAACTTGTCGGTAAACCTAGATGTCTGTATAAATATATATTGCGAAAGTCGACATCTGGAATGTATAATAGCTTGGCTGCAGGGGTTGCCGGCAGAAGGTCACCTTTGACAGTCAAATACCTTGGGGACACAACTCCTGATTTTTCTGTCTAAATTTACTTCCACAACCTTTTCTGCGTTTAGATTCAGCCGCAAGGCACGAAACATTTTAACTCAGAGTTTTCCAGCTTCTAGAAAAGATGTATCCTTGATAGCCTAGGTTCACCTGTTATTTAACCTATAACTAGAAGAATACGGTTTCATGCCTATTCGAAGATTATCAGTGAGAGGGGAGCATTTCTATCTGATTCTGTTCATATCTATCTGTCTATCTATCTATCTGAATATAATATTTTAATTTTCTTTATAAATACATAGCATACCCATCAAGAAAATTATATATTGTATGTAAGCATATATATATATATATATATATATATATATATATATATATATATATATATATATATATACAAATTCATGAATCATTCATACAAAAAACAAATATAGAGGTTAATGATTTAAATGGCGAGAATACATCTTCGCAGACAATATAAATAAGATACACCAACCCCGAACCTGAATATGAATGATATGATCCCTGTTTATAAATTCCAGTTGCATAAGATCTTTTAATTTTTTACAAGCTTTTTTTCTTCTGTGTTTGTTTGGAATGACACTCATATATATATATATATATATATATATATATATATATATATATATATATATATATATATATAGGTTCACATGTATACAGGCGTATGCATGGTAGTTCCTACGTACCCCAACCATATTCATAATCTTGGGTTTGGCGTAGTTACACTTCCAAACGTACGAGCGCCCGTATTTACGCATCTTCATTCTATCAATTTCGGTGTTAGGATTGTAGTGATTCGTATGTAGTAATGTTCCCATAGTAGGGATCACATAGATCTTACCTTATCACTCACTAACTACCAAGAAACAACATCCCCCCCCCACACACACACACCAATTGATTCACCTCCCTCTGATTAAATTTTTATTTTAATATCTTCCCCTTAACGAATTTCAGGTAAAGTTCGATATTCCTAATAATATAACCGAACCGTAATATTGTATGGATGGATATATATATATATATATATATATATATATATATATATATATATATATATATATATATGGGGGGGTAAATATATGTAAGTGTATGTAGGCATATGTGTAAGTGGGTATTTAGGTATGTATGTCTGTTGTACAACACGATTTATTCCATTGAGTGTCTCGGTTTTATTTTCAGATTTTGGGAATCTATTATTTGGATAATTTATTTTAACTTTAAATTCTCTTGTCTTTAAATCTTCCATCACTTAATAATATAATCCACTAGCAGAAACCTAAATTTATTTGCATACAACTAAAGGTTTTGACCATAAACACTCCTACTCCGGCCAATCTCCTTGTCACCAACCCAGACGCTTTATTAAAACAAGATGTCCCCTTAAGTAACCACGTACATTTTCACCAACTGCTATCTAAACTAAATTCAAAACCCCCATTCCGAGACAGTCAGTCAAGGGGTGAGGAAGACTGGCTTATGTCAGTGCTGGTCTGAAATAGACTATATCCACATGAGATAATTTGGGATTTTTGCTGTATAAAATATAAGCTTTGTTATTATAAATACACTGAACTCTCTGTGGATCAGTTTTAATATCTAATATCACTAAGATCCACCTGGATTATATACCAACGAATGTGTTACCAGTGCCACACACACACACAAACACACACACACACTCAATATATAGTCATTCTCATCACACGACTTTATGGGTCAGAATCTTGGACGCCATACAGGACACACATCAATCAACTTGATGCTTTTCATAAACCCTGTCTTCGTTCAATATGCGGTTATACACGGCAGGACAAAATCTCTAACCCTGATCTTTTTATCAAATGTGGCATCGGTGGTATCGAATTATTTCTGATGCAATTACAGTTCAGATGAGCTGGTCATGTCATCAGAATGAGTGCTGATCGGAGGCCGAAAATCCTCATGTATAGCCCACTTTTTCATGGTAAGCGTAATGTAGGCCATCCTTGGTTTACACTTCAAGGACAAACTGAAATACAATGTAAATGCTGCAAACCTCCCTATAGATGAGTTCGAACTTGCTGTGGAAAACCGAGCAACCTGGAGAAACATCTGCTACCAAGGTATAACTAACTTCGGAAAGAATCGTCTCAACCAATCGAGAGAATTAAGAATTAACACTAAATCTTGGGCTAATATATCAGCCCATGTGACAGTCAACTCTTCAGTAGGCCCTTCGTGTGGATTTGTTTGCAAATCCCTTGCAGGTTTGTTGTCTCATACGAAACATAAACATAAAAACTGAACTGAAAGACACACACACACACACACACACACACACACACACACACACACACACATATATATATATATTTAGTAAATTAAAAATATATTTCCATCGCTACACAGGAAATACCACGTTTCAAAACCAGAAACCAAAAACTTTAAATTCAATTATTGAATTAAATTAAAGTCCTTAGTCCTGTTTAATTTTCAAGCGAATTTTGGAATAACTTATCTTGAAATTTACTTAGTTTTATAAGCGCGTACATTGACAATATTAGTTTCTAAGGATACGAGGAATTCAATCATTTTTTTCAAGTGGTTGTAGGGTATTTATTTTCACTGACAACTATTGTATCAAAATATGAGTTATTTTCGAAAAGAGGTTAAATTAAAGTAGGGTAGGGGTGCCTGTTCAACGAACGATGACATCCGTTCATCGCATGTCGTCTGGCCTTTATCAATGACAAAAAGTTTTTCGACATTTTTTTCGCCGTTAAATGTGTAATTGTATACATAAAGATTTTTTTCTAAAAGAGTTGTTTGTATATGAATACGTCGTATCGAACTACAATTTTAAAATATTATTCTTAATTTTAATTACTATTAGACTGTACTTCTTTTTAAAACAAATAAATATAATAGAATTACTTTAATTATTTAAAAAAAATATCATTATATATCAAATATAAATATGTATATTTCATTTATCTGTTTTTAAAAAATATATTTATGCTCTGTAGATTTGCATTGAGCACTGTTTTTTAAAAATAAAAATAACTGATAAAAACACCAAATTATATATCTTACTTTTCTTTCTTTTTATTCTAATATATATATAGTGTGTAACAGCAAAATTGTCAAATCGTGTAACAGTATCATTGTCCATTCCACAATTTTTTTAACATCTAAAATACCACTAAACTAATTGAGTTTCGTTTTTCCAGATTTTTTGTTAAGACGTTTAGCCATCTAGACATCATTTGTCGAAAGAATCACAGAAAAACCTAGAAAGAGAACAGGTTAAAATGATTTTTTACTAGCCCCACTGTCTTTCCAACTGAAGAGAGAGGAAAAAGATCATTCTGGCCTTCCGTAATGGTACCAACATTCATACCCTGGCTTCCATTTTCAAATCTATTCAAGAAAGATCAAGAGAACGGTGAATAAGTTAAAAAAAAAGAAGGAACATTGGAGAGGAAAACTGGATCAGGAGGTCACAACAGGAAGAGAGATCATCATTACAACGAAAGAAATCAATTAGAAAAGATCCAACTCAGCCCATAAGTCGTTTGTCACGTGACAGAGGAGCTTCAACTCTGACAGTCCAAAGAGCAGTGATAAATGACTTGATAATGAAAACCTACGTGGAACTTGTGAGGCACCTGGTTACTTCAGGAGAGAAAGTAAGAAGGTTAGAGAGGGCAAAGATCATCTTGAAGGAGTTGGACAATGATCCTGCAATTATTATATATATATATATATATATATATATATATATATATATAATTGAACTTTATTTCAATCCTTCATTAGCTTCCGATTCTTAGCTATGATTAATTAATGATGAACCTGAAATTTACGTTTATGATAGATTTCATAATGATTCTTCTGCTAAGCTTGGAGAGTAATTATACATTCTTATTGCTATATGTACTTTCCAATAGTGTTATTAAAACCTCGGAAGATTCTAGTAGTATATCTTTAATCATTTCTAAGACACAACGGTTCAAATCTTAATCTAACATTTGGACAATTTTGCAGTTACAACCGGTATACATATATATATATATATATATATATATATATATATATATATATATATATATATACTTTCTTAGATAAATATATATGAGCCTCGGTGTACATACACACACATACACAGGCTCACACACGCACACACGCACGCACGCGCGCACTAATTCATACATAAACTCACACATAGTTTTGGCATGGTATTAAAAACGTTTCTTGTTTTCTTGTGTTATCGCCAAAGAAAAACAAACAACGATTCTTCTGCGAAGCTTGTAGAGTAATTATACATTCTTATTGTTCAATGTAGTGTCCAACAGTGTTATTAAAACCTCGGAAAACTCCAGTAAGATATCTTTAATCATTTCTAAGACACAACGGTTCAAATCTTAATCTAACAATTGGACAATTTTGCAGTTACAACCGGTATATATATATATATATATATATATATATATATATATATATATATATATATGCTTTCTTAGAGAAATATATATGAGCCTCAGTGTACACACACAAACACGCACGCACGCGCGCACTAATTCATACATATACTCACACATAGTTTTGGCATGGTATTAAAAACGTTTTTTGTTTTCTTGTGTAATCGCCAAAGAAAAACAAATCTTACGGATAATGTAATTTCCCAGCAGAATTGAAGCATTTCTTAAGGTCAAGCAAAAGAAAGAAATCTCATGAAAGTTGCATAAAGCCGTGGCAATTACCAACTTATTACGGAGTCAATACCACAGAAGGCGTCCCAGGAAGCGTAGGAGAGTTAACTTGAGACAAGCAAGTCACATGGTTTCGCTACAAAGGTAATTATAAGACTGATGGAATTTGCACTGGTATGAGAGATCCTATTATTGTGTATGTGCACATCTGACCATTCTTTACACCACAGTGCAGTATGTCGCCAGAAGCTAAACAAACTATTGCTTAGGGTTTGAAATATTTTCAGTTTTATTTTTGAGCGCTTTTAAAACTCTGGCGTATTTTATTTTTTTAATCAAACGTTATATTTCTTAGAGTATAATAGGAGTTGATAGGTTCGCCTATCTCCCGATTCACATTCCCGCCGGTCTTTTGAACAGGAGTAGAGGTTTATCCCTTGTTTTCTGTTTAGGATTGGGTTTCCGGTTCCTTCTAGTCTTTACTTCAGCTTTATACTCCTAACGCTTGTTAATACAGAAACCATCTACTTTGAGTGGCTCCTGGGTCTTATATTGGACGAATATAAGTAAAAAAACATTTTTTA